AAGCAATGGAGTTGGATTGGATGAAAAGGCTAAATGTTGTTAAGGAGGTGGCTGCTGCTTTATCCTATCTACACCATGATTGCTCTCCTCCAATCATTCACCGAGACATTACCAGCAATAATGTTCTTTTGGATTTGGAATACGAAGCACACGTTTCCGATTTTGGCACCGCTAGGTTGGTGATGCCGGACTCATCTAATTGGACTTCATTTGCCGGTACCTTTGGATATACTTCTCTAGGTCTGTTACTTTAGACGTATAATCAATATATATTTTAGCTTTTTATCACCTGTGGTACTACTAACAACACAATTAGTATGAGAAAAACAAAGCATAACCTTTTTTTTTTTTTTTTTTTTTTTGGCAGAGCTGGCTTACACAATGGAAGTGAATGAAAAATGTGATGTCTATAGCTTTGGAGTGACAACAATGGAAGTGATGATGGGAAGGCATCCAGGTGATCTCATCTCAACACTTACATCATCTTCATCTTCATCTTCATCATCGTCGCCATTACCACCAGTCGATTTGCATACACTGTTAAAGGAAGTGCTTGACCAACGTATCAGAATTCCTAAAAATCAAGTTGCTGAAGGCGTGGTACATGTCGCAAAAATAGCAATTGCCTGCTTGCACCCCAATCCTCAATCTCGACTGACAATGGTAAAAGTTTCTTCAGAGCTTACAACTCGGTGGTCTCCATTGCTGAAGCCATTCTCTATAATAACTTTGGAAGATCTGTTCTAGCACACAGTTGAGCCAAGTGGTTCAGTAATGTTGTCTCCTCCACTTTGCGGGCAAGTTGACCTCAAGGAGGCAGCAAATTTGGAGTCTATATCAGTGTCATTGTAAATCCTGTCGCAGAAATTGGTGCACCGAGCAAGCCTGATGGAGTGGCCTGCTGAGAGGACAACTAGGTCCTGGAGGTCTAGTCCATGAGATTGGAAGATGGAAAGAAGCTGTGAGAAATTAAGAAATGGGGGAGGAAGATTGGAGTTTGCGTCAGCTTGCAGTTCTTGAATCATTTCTGCCTAAATAAGCCATGTAGGTGTATATACAACTAAACACAAAAATAAAGCTCTTTACTTCACTAAGATTTTGTTTGGATAAGCAATATTCTCTACTTACAATATTCTTTACTTTAATTTTGTCAACCAAATCTAAGGCCTTCGGATTAAGTGAATTGATATTGGGAAAGGCAGTCTTGTCGCCAGTGAAGTTAGCTGTGTCATCTAGAAGTACTGATCCATCGCAAACCTGCAGCAATACAGCGATAAATTTCTGAGACATGAAATCATGATTTATTAGTGATTTTGATATCATTCATATTCTAGTGCTTGAACTTGTGCTTAAATTATTTTAAATATCCACCATTAATGTGTCGTTAATTATTAGGATCAAGACTTGAAGATTTTTAACGGGTTCTTCTGGTGGAAATTACAGAACTCAAATCCAAGACTTACTCCTTCTCCCCTATATTGTAAGGGCAAGTGCCACTAAGCTAACAACAGCTGGTACGCAGACTTAAGGTTGTAGAACAAAATATTTTTCTGTGCAATACATGAAGCTTCATGCTGCATGCCTCGTTAGAAAAATGCAGGATTAGAAACAGAAAAAAGGCACAGGTGCGCAAGCCAAAAACATTGAACTTACATTGACAAAGCAGTCATGGAAGTGCAAGCGAAGTAACGATGCTCCTATGCGTGGATCCTCAGAGATTGCCTCAGACACAATATCTTTAATCTTACTCAATGCTTTAGGGCACTATAAGTATAAGTATTCAGGGACCAATCTGGCATGTAAAGGGGTCAAAATAGCAGCAAAATACAATAAGAAAGATAGAAGAGCAGCCATAGGTATAAGCTCAGAAACTTCAGTTAAATTGCAGCACAATTGCACAACTAGCAGTAAGGTGCACGTGCTTTTGTAGGCAAACACAAGAGCTTGCTTAATTGCTTCATCTGTTATAATATTTTAATAGCAAATGAACCAAATTATTGTATTATGTGGGGATCATGCTAATATTCCTGCAAGAAATAAGTGCAGATTCTTAAATTTTTTAACTCTTAAAATAAAATATTAGTTCCTAAAAAAAGCTTAGGTTTCTTCAAAGGTTTAAGGAGATTCAAAAGGACAGAAAAATTTACTTTCCTACTTCATTGAATTAATGCCTCAGATCTGTAGAAGTTATTGATCGGATTATTTCTGTAACTTTTGTGGTTCTACTTCTACCAACAAAACTCCAGAGCATTGCTTCAAGTGTTGAATGAACTTATTATTATGTTTCCTCTTATTGCATCTTCACTAATCCGACTAGACAGCACATTCTCATCAATATCACAGATAAATGCAACTTCCTCCAGTAGAATTTGGTCAGCCAACCAGCTCAAATAAGACGAACCACTTTCTCAGTTAAAGACTAGGAAAGGTTTCAGAATGCTTCACAAATCAATACCGATTCCTGTATTCAGAAACAAGACAAATCTCAGAGGGCATTGACTGCTAACCGAATCAGATAGGGTTCGAAAATTTTAAAGAAGCTGATAGTTTATGTGAATGAACAGCTGGTTGTTTGTCTGCAAACAATTTTTGTTCACTTGCAAGTCTGACTGATTGATGGCTACCAGTCTTTTTGAACATTTGCAAACAACATGTTATGAATCATCTTGACGGAACTATATTTTTTTTGTATGCTGACATTGGAGTAACCAACATGCTCTGTGATTATGTGTTCATTCTTGGTGGATGTCTTGGATTGCTGCATTGATTCTTTTACAAACAAATTCCGTAGTCCTCATCCAGTTGTCAAACAACACAATTTCCTGTAAGCACGAAATTAGACAGCATAAAAAAACCAGACAACATTCACCCATGCATGTGTGAGTTGATCCTATCCAGCATTATAATGTAGCCGATGCATTATGAACAGGTAGGATAGCCTAACACGGCAGAAATCTAACAGAAATGGATAGTCAAGCATTCTGATACAATTCCAACAGAAATCTAGCATAACAAAGCAGAGATTGAAATGGCAATAGTTGGAACTAACGCAGAGATTGAAATGGCAACAGTTAGAACTAAAGAGATTGCAGTATTGATAGCATGAATAGCAATAAGCCACATAACAATTGCTTCATATTTTGAGTAATTGTAGCAGTCAAAGCTCTATTCTCCAATTCAATTCCCTTCTCATTAACAAATAATTTTTGCAGCAAATAATGATAAAAGAAAGAACAAGTACACGTACTCTATATTCACTTGGTGACAATTGAATCAGAAAAAACCAATAAGCAATAACTGTAAATGACAGTGTGCCGGATACATGTTTCTTATTTTTGTAATTGGGCGATGATCATTGGGAAAGATATAAGCAAACTTCTTTTTGCATTGCCGTAGTTTGCAAACAATGATGTTACACTCGCAATTTCATGCCAGTGACATTTCATGAACAAAGAAAGATTCAACATGTCCAATCTCCTGCTCGTAGAACAAGGCAAGCACATTTAAGATGGGTTAACTGTCCTGCAATTCATTTTGCTTTATCCATTGTCAGTGGAAGGCTTTCATGCTTCCCATTTTGATCATGGAAACACCAATTAAAGTTCAAAAAATTGCCCAAGTTGGTCACTCTACTACCATCTCTTTATATTTTGAAAGAAACTATCTGGGTTTCCACAAGTTGAATGGTTCAGATCTGGTAAAGTAACTGATTTGTTTGTTTTTTTTTAAGTCTTCTGGTTCTTCTACCAACACAGCTCCAGCATTGCTTAATTTTGTTTTCTATTTTATTGGGAGAAGTACTTAATTGTTAGATTTGTTTCTTTATTCGAGTATAGAAGTCAACTAACTGATGGCTTAAAATATTTAGTTGACAAAAACCAAAGAAAGACCATTGGTCAGATGCATTCTTTATTAATTCAACATGAGAGCACTCTGCAATCAATATAACATATGAATGCAACTTGCAAACAAGAATTTCAACTTCTTCCAGTGAAATTAGGTTAGCCAACTGGCCAAAGAAGACAAATATCTTTCACAGCTAAAGATCAGGAAAGTCAATCATGATGTCTGTTTTTACAAACACAAAAAAGAAACCATTATTGAATACATAGATTCCTGATTGATTCATCCCGACAGGACGATGTCTTAAGACATAATTTAAGCAGAACCGAAAAATGAATGAAGACAACCAATCAGTAGATAGGGGATGAGAAACAAGCTAAAACTTTAGGTAAATGAACCATAGGTTGTTTACTTGCAAACTACTTTCATTCAGTTGCAAGACTGAATCATCCATGGTTTGCAAAGGTGAGAAGGTAGTTGTTTGCAATGGTGGGGCCATGGCACCCCATTCACAAAAGACCATCATTCAACCTTGCAAACAATCTGCCATTCACTTATAAACAATGAGTCATTCACACAAATCACTCGGCACATCATAAATGATCCATGGTTCAACCATTGCAAAAGACTCTGCCTTTCAGTTTTGCAAATGAGTTGTTGTTCACTTGTATTGCTTCTGTTCTTCCAGAAGTCATTTATGTAATTAAGTTATATAAACAATCCAGAAGAAAAAATGATAAAAAGAAAGGGCAAAATCAGTGGCACGTTGATGGGGACAGATGAGAAACATAGCTTAAAATTTACTTAGGGCTTCAGCATCTTGGATTGAATTTAACCCACATTATTAAAAGCATTCTCAAGGGTTCTCCATTAATCTGGATTCAAAGGAGCTCACTTTGAACTCCAGCTAATGACAAACACACACAACAAAAACATAATCAGAGAGACAAAAATTTGCACATCAATTGGGCATGTGGAATTGCAAAGAATTGTTTTATTAAAGAAAAAAAGACAAAAGTACATGAAAACAATAAATAACCAGTTGAGAAAACACTGAAATGTACAGTAAACACAAACTTGTAGTAACTGAGCTGTCCGAGGCAAAAATTTCTCCATTCAGCCAAATTTAGTAAAAAACATACTTTTCAACTGTAAGTTCATTCTTGGTGAATGTTATGTATCGCTGTGGTTATGCTTTTACAATCAAATTCCATAGTCTTCATCCAGTTCTCAAAGTCCCCAATCTCCTATAGCACAGCATAAAAAAAAAAAAAAAAACACTTGAGAGTTGACTCTTCAAACAACAACAACAAAAATACTCACAAGTCACGCCACCATTCCTTCATTCCTAGTCTGTACATAGAGTTGTCCATGAACACAAAAATTTGACGCGTCCATGCATCAGGGAAGGACCAACCACATGAGATGGACAGACAGGTAGCTTAACACACTCATCGGCGACTGCCAAAATCAATCCATAATAACCCTTTCCTAATCAGCAATGCTAAAGGCAGTCGCGACTGCAATCATCCAGGCAGTAACTGACCCACATGTGAGCCACATACAGTCCAAACGAGCATATTCGCAACTACACACTTAGCATGGTCCTTCCCAGATTGCAAAATCATACTTATTTTCCTTAATCCACATTATAATCATAAAATCTCACTCTTAAAGAAGAACTAATTAACAAAAACAAAAACAATTTAAAATCCCAATAATTAAAAACGAAAAAAATAGCGAAAAGAAAATTAAGAGAAAGACCTTAATAGCAGTATTAATAGAATGAGTAGCAGTAAGCCACTGGTCACTCTGCTTCATAAACTTCGCAATACTCGCCGCCAAAGCTCTAATCTCCATTTCAATTCGCTTCTCATTAACGAAGGATTCCTGCACTCCTCCATTCACTCCATCCACCAACAAATCCGCCACTCTCAACGCATTTCTCACCGCTTCTTTCTTCTCTCTCTCTGTCTCAATCACAAAACCTCTAAAATGTCAAATCTTTGAGATCGAAATTGAGAAATTGAGTGGAAAATTAGAACTGACCGGTGGTTTCGCGGAGACGGAGAGAGGTGTGCTGATGATCGGTGAAGATTTGGAGAAGCGAGGACTCTAGGTCGTTGCCGGTTGGGATCGGTGGCGGTTGTTTATCACGCTCCGGTGAGTGTGCCACGAGCGTACGCGCTAATGGACGCTGCGGTGAGTTCATTTGAAGTGAAGTTTCTGTTTTTTCTGTAGCGGTTGTTTACCGATTGCCGCTGGGTTTTGTTTGTTTTTGTTGGGCTTCGTATGTTAACATGTGGGCCGGCTACGCAACGCTGATGTGGGCTGGGCTTTATGGGCTTAGATTTTTCAAGATTTACAAAGGACTCAACTATAATCGCTAGCCTTTAAAATGAATTTTATTAAATAATTTTCGAAAATAATCAGTCATTTGATCCTTTCGTAATGAAAAAATTTTTAATCTAAAATTGAATATCTTGGATTAAAAATAAAATAAAATAAATTCTCTAACAGATGTTTATTTTTCTTCCGATTGATTAAAAATCATTCGTTTTTTCGTAAAAAAAAAAAAGGAATAATTGAATATTAGAAGCTAATGAAGAGAGATAATTAACTGCGTTGGTAACCCTAATGTCATAAAGCTTCATGATTTGAAAAATAAATTTATGTGATCTTACAATGAGGAATAATTTGTGAAGAATATGAGATTGAAGCCCTTAGAACACATGACCCCCTTTGATAATTGATTTGTTTAATTTAAGAGTCAAATTCGTAACAAACTTTGTCTTCATATTAACATTACAAGTCAACAATCCTTCCATTATTTTTTATTTATATATAACTTTTGTAATGTAGAGAAAACATATGATGAGATGAGAATTTTTTTTTTCGAGATTTAAGTTTATTATTTTCTAGGCTAATCATTGTCAGAATTACGTTTATTCTTTGGTTGATTATAACAGTCAGACTTTAAAGGAATCCGTTAGTAGCTTCTATTTTGTATCATACAAAAATAAGGTAAGTTTTTCAAAAATGAAAATGAAACTTATCTAGGAAGTCAATAAGTGAGGAGTGATATTTTTCTTATTACTCTATCTACAACTTTCAATGAAAAATATATTGTACTTTTTCAGTTGATTAACAGAACTTAATGTTGCTTTCATCAAATAATGTTGGAAGATAGATGATTCTTTATTACAGTAACATGCCCGGTCCCCATCCACCACTATCTATTCATCAATTAAAATGAAATTAGTGTTTTCATTTGTAAAGATTCCAGACGTGTGTTCCATTTTTTATTTTTTATTTTTTGTCATATAATAGAATAAATGATAAGATAAATTTTAAAAAAAAAAAAAATCAGTGCTATTGGTAAACCTAACTGAACCAAGTTGTTGGCTCCCAAATGGATCGATATGGAGTTATCAACAACTTCATTGATTTAGTAAACGTTGACAAGAACTCTAACAACTCAAACCCTTCTTGTCCAATTATAGATTTATATATAGCCACACAAACTCAGTCAAGGATTTATCCAGAAATTAACTGTAATCAATGGATGTCTGGTGAGATTTCCTGTATTGATAGCGATAAGACCCTTCCTTGCTTAAATACCAAACCAAAATTTTCCCATAACATCCAATTGTCTTGATGCATTAAAAGAAGAAGAGAATTTTCCATTCATTTCCACTTTATTATCTAAAAGAAAATCTTCTTAAATGGGTTCTTGTGAAGGAGTCAAGTTCAATTTGTACATGAACTCTGGAAGATTAGGTAGAATCTAGCTTTGACAATGTTCATGGTTTTTGCAAAGCTATGGTAGGTAAATTCTTTAACTTTGAAAACATTTTCTTGACTAATTGCAAGAATAAAGCAGCCAGATATATACGTCATATTGAATGGTAAGTTGTAACTAATTTGATAATTGAAGCGTCGAACACACTTCCATTAGTTTTTATTTTATTTTTTCCTCTTTTTATTTTTATTTTTATTTTTTCTCATCAAGACCTCCATGAGTTTTGAACTATATAATGGAGACAATCTTTTTTTATTACATAATCACTAAATAAATTTAGAATCAATAAGACTCAAATCTTATTTCATTAAGAAAGTCATTGAGTATACAATTGCTAAATTAAGTTTGCTTATGTAATTTTTATTAATTTTTTCCAAACACTTAACAAAAACTTTTGAAGGAGAACTAATAGCTCTCTAGTTTAGAACTAGTGGGTTTTTTGCACTCATAAAAAAAAATACAGATTGAAAGTTTTTATTTGAAGTATTTGAATTTAAAAAAAAATCTCATTGAAAAAAAAGTTTTAGTAATCTTGTGATGAATAGGAAATCTTGTATATTTCGTGTGATTGTGGTACACTGATCCTAAATATATATATATACACAAAATAGGATAGTCTAAAGAAAGAAAACAAAAGCTGCACAAGAAAAAAAAATTATACATAAAATTCCGTTATAATAGGCCTATTTTGTAGCCTATATTATAGCTACTAATACTGTTAACAAGTCTATTAGTTTGTAATAATGATCAATTTAGTTATTTGTCCTAATACGACTTTTCTTTCTTGTTTCGTTAACTGCTAATTAATAAAACTAACTTTTTAATGATCTGACCATTAATTGTGTGCTGTAAAGTCTTATCTATAACAAAATAAAAACATGAAACCCACTATGAAAAATAATTCAGCTCTATGTCTTTCGTAAAATAGAAGAGTAAAATTTCGATATACTAAACAATTCCTCGTCTAAGTTTGTGTTTGTAAATTTGACGCAATTACTCACTTTCCTTTGCCTGTTCTTGATGGGTATGTAGGAAGCAGATATTAGTTGTCTTGACCATTTCAAATAAACTCGAAGGACGGTTGGTTTAAGCCCTTTTAATTTTGAAAATGGAAATTTAAAATAATATTAATTTTTACATTGACCAAAAAAAAAAAAAAATTGTTGGAATCTTAAACAGATAAGCTGTCAAGGAGTAGGTTCTGACTTTTCGAAAATTATTACACAAATCAGAATCAGTTGTTAATAATTAAGATTAGAAAATTAAATTGCATGTGCAAATCATAATTACCTTTTTTGGTAAATATAATAATCTCTGATAACTCAATATGTCGGCAATGACAAGAACTAGCTCTGAGAGTTAGGTCTTTCAGAGTAAGAACAATGGCATTCTTTTTGTTCTCAAATTTATAATGTATTTGTTTTAGAATTAATAGTTAAATAAATCTTTACATAATTAAGTAATTTTTAATTTATTTTTATATCTTTAATTGAGTCGATTTTAAAAATAATTCCGATAATTTAGTTTGAAAATTATAAAAAGACAGATTAGATATGTAATACATATTTAAAAATAAAATTGATTCGATTAAAGTTAAATAGATAAATTGAGACATTAATCCTTTTTGTATATATATATAATCCATTTCTGAAAATGTGAAAATATTGTATTTGTTTCGTTATATTTGTTAGATATTTTAGAGATTTCCAAAAACAAGAACTCAGATACCAAACATCCTAAGAGCTCAACGGGATTGTATTTATTTTTCTTTAGTTAGAAATATGTGAAGCAATTTTTTCTATTCTTAAAGGAGTCGATTTGTGAATCATTTTTTTCTTGTAATTAAATCGAAATACATAATTAATCACATTACCTTAAAGAATCAGAACACATGGTTACGAACGGAACTGGTGTCGGTGGTTCCAATTCCTCCTCCTCTGCAATCAGACAAAAAACAAAAATCTTTCTTCTCTAAAGACAGAAAAATCATGACAGCTATCCAGCAACGATACATAAAATATATGAGAGTATTTTAATCGATCGGTTATGTCATCTAATCCAGGTTTAATATTATCATGTATCCAATCTAACCGGACAACAAATTCTTGATTGAACATAAAGCAACAAATCTCATCGTATCATGCTTTAAATTTCAGCTTTATTACGTGTTGCCCTATTATAAGTGCCAACTGCCAACCTATCTGTGATTAATTAAGTTCTTGTTTGTTAGTCAAAAGTTTCCGATGGCTAATACTATTATGTTACAGGAGTAACCCAAGTTCCTGTATAAACAAACAAAACATACAAAGTTTTGACTTTTCTTTTCGTTATTTTTATTAATTATGTGAAAATGACAAGAAGCCCCCGGAAAATGATGCACAATTCCGTCGAGTAAATTATAAATCAGTCACTCTGTTTATTAGAAACAAGTTAATTAATCCTTTTTATTTTCAATTTTAACTTTTTAATGACGTTTAATTTAATATTATTGTATTTAAAAAAATTTTCATTTTTTCTCGTCAATTCTTTCATATTTTTTAATTATTTCTTCTTTTCTGCTTCTTAAAAAAAATAAAAATAAATTGAAAATGAACAAAAGCAAATTAAGTTACAAGAAAATTTAAAAATATAAGAACTAAAAAATTATTTTTTTAAACTAGAGGGACTAATTAATTTATTTTTATAATTTATAATTTACTCCAATTCCGTCCGTTTCTATTTAATCTTCTCCTTGAAGTGGTCATATCTTAAAACCAAGAGGCATGAAAAGAAAGAAAACTGTATATGTCACACTCAATTAATTAATACACTATTTAAATTTGATAAATGGTGACTAATTAATGAATTTTGAAGTAACATTAAAATGGTAAACTACAACACATTCCTAGGCGACTATCTTTCTCCCTCCCCGAAACCATAAATTAAGTTGGTCAACACTGCCACTCTATGGTTTCAATTTCGCTTTTTAGGGGTAATTTAAAAAAAAAAAAAACACAAATCTCAAGGAAATATATATTACAAAGTCGAGAGATATATCATTCTAAATCCCTTAACAAATTATATTACGAAAATATGGAAATTATGAAGAAAATTATTGGAGAAAGATGGATTGATGAAATTGAAATGAAAAATTAAAAACTCAAGGGTGTAACTATAAAAATTTATAGTTCAGGGGGAACTTAACAAAACCCCCCAAACCTTAAAGGACTATTTTGTAGTTTACTGAACAACTTAAGCAACAAGTCAAGGAATTTTTTTTTCAACATAAGTTTACACATCAATCAATCGAGATTAAGTTTTTAAGGTTTTATTTTGATGATTTTAAGGTACATTATTTACATCGGTTTGATATGTTTAGAGGAATTTAATAAATTTATGTGATTATCGATTCCAAATTTTGAAAAAAAGAA